AATTGATCTAAGTGAAGTATGTAAAAAGTAATTTGTACTATGCACCTGTTGCTTAATAAATCCCACCACCAATCTACTGTAAGTCTTCTATATTCCATGCCAGCTGTAGTGGGCAGGTGTAGAAAACTTAAACTTGGGTATAATAGCAGTAGAACAATTGTTAGGCTCTTGGCAGCTCATGTGCACCTCACTTATTTGCAGTAGGTGTGAATGGCAAACTCATTTAACAGGAAGATGAGTGATGGAGAATGTTGAAAAAGTGTAAACTTGAGCTTAACTATTTCTAACTGTAATAGGTCCTTGCACTCTAAATTTACTTCTTAAAGCTCATGTGAACATACTTTTTCTCATACTGGTTTCTAGTTCTAAGGAGAATCTTAAAACCATTTGTACTTGGTTAATACCTTTCAGTATAGCTCTGAGATAAGACTTGAGATGAATGTTAGGTTTTTGTTGTTTTTTTCTGCAAGTTGTGCCCCTCTGTGTCATCTGGCAAACAAGGGCTAACACAAATCCTTTTCAACCAAAAGAAAATGCTGAAACTCGCTGCTCATGCTTCTGTTGTGAATCACTGTCATTGTCTGGCAGCAAATTTCTTGTTCTGCTTTAAAAAACAATCTCCCTCAGATATCTGAAGTTATGAACTGCTAGTTTAACCATATTGGCATTGTTGGGGATTACTAAGATTTATTATTCTTGTAGCTGGCAGTCTGTTGCTGTTAAGTTGCTGTTGCTTGCGTGCAGTTTCTGAACATTTTGTGAGGAAAGCGCATTTGTTGAGGTTAAAGTAACAGTTAAGAAATTTTTGTCAGTGCTGTCTAGTCTTTAGACATTTACCAATCTGCTTGTTTAGTTACCTAGATAACTGAGTGCTTCTCAAATACACAAGTGTCCTTTGGCTTAAACTCTGTTTTAAGACTTATTACCGAGCAGTCTCTGAAAGCGGTCCGAAGTACTGAGATGTTATTTTTTTATATAATTGCAGATTATTTCTGAACTATTTGTTTATGCTGCCTTGACAGATAATTGATTATGAAGTTCCATTCATTTAATTGAGCTGGTTTGCTTGTTGGAGACATTCTTTGACCAGAAGATGACAAACTGTGAGAGGTTTTCTTGCTCTATATGGACCTTCACCTTAGGGATAAAAAGTGTCTAGTGCACCACGCAGAATGGCAGTGAGGAGAAGCAGTGAAATTGGAAAATGATGATGTCTAGTGCACCACGCAGAATGGCAGTGGGTCAGGTGAGGAGAAGCAGTGAAATTGGAAAATGATGTCTAGAATTATTACATTTACAAGAAAATGGAAGAAAGTGTGAGGTTTTGGGGGGTTTTTTTAATTACTTGTGCATGAGGTACATTCATTTAGGTTCACTTGCATAATCACTTTCTTACTTGTGTACTTTGTGTAGCAGTTGAGAAGGACTGGAGGGCTGAGAAGCAGCAGCTTAAAAATTTCGTCAGGTTTAAATCTAAGGCTTGCCAAACTTTCAAAAACTGATCTTATGTTACAAATTAATTTTCATATTATTATTTTTGCTATTATAAAAAGGTATTGCAGCGTATAATGTGACATGAGGTCTTTAATGTCTTTAAAAAAAAACAAAACACAAAAATCCCAACAACAGAAAAAACCCTCAACAAGAAACAACAAAAACATACCACAGCAAAAGAAGAGACTCATGAGATTTAGCTTTGTAGTGTTTTTGGCTTCATCAGCTTATACTGCAGTTAGTTAAGTTGAATATGTAACTTAGACAGAAATTATTAATCTTAAAAAAAAAAATTGGTTATGAATAGCCTTTAAAATGTCACAAAATTGAAATAAAAGCTGCATTTTTTGTTTTGTTCCATAAGTTGATCAGTTGTATACCAAAGCTGTAAATTAATCCACTATTTTCTGTTACGTTTTCTATGGTAAAAGAGTTTCATAATTGCTAAGAAAGTAAATCTGATCAGGATCATTATTTAAAAAAAATTGAGTTTAAAACTTGGCATTGTGTTTTATCACCATTTGGTCTTCAAGAAATAGGTACAACATTTTGTTATTTTTAAAGCATGATTTCTATACAGTCTGCGTGGTATCCATTTTTCATGGGTATGAGATGGTAAGCGACTGTTTTTTGTCGGAATGGGCTGATTGATGATGCAGAGCTGTATCAGCCTTTGCGTTTCAAATGTCAGCCAGTCAGTTAAGCGCTGTGTTGCATCCATGCTGAGGACTAGAGCAGAACAGTGTGGCTAAGGTTGCAGAGGTAAACCATCTAAGAGCTAGGAGTCTCGTTTAAGGCAGGAAAAACAACAAAAAAGTTGATTTCTTTCTTGCTATAGGCAATACTTCTGACTTTATTACATGATAGCATGTTATGCTCTAGCTCCTGAGTCCCAACCCCCAAATTTCTTGCATCATGTAATGCATGGGGCAGAGAGTAACCATGGAGTCAGCATCTGTTCAATGATTCATTTTGGTGTAGTTGGTTGTGTGGTCTGTGGTCCTACTACTGTTATTCAAAGCTTACTCTGATAACAGTTACTAATTTTAATGGGTTTTCCTGTGGCATCATGCCCGTATTCTCTACAGTTTTTGGTCCCTGTTGCACACACTTAGGCTTGTCTGAAGACTTCATGCTTCCCAAGAACTAGCAGTGACAGCCCACAAACAGATTTCTTGCTTCCAGTTGCAATTCTTATCCCACAGGTGACACTGGGGCAGCCATTGCATTTGGAAATTATCCAGTAGTCCTCATCTGTAGCATGTGTGTTTGTGCAGGGATTTCAGTGCAGGGCTGTCAGAGTGCATAGGGTGGAGCACACGGACTGCTCAGCCTGTGGCACATGTTGGGGTAACAGGTCCCTGGGCTAAAGGAGTTGGAGGTGATCATGAAGTAGTAATTGAGTTGTAGCGTAGGCTTAATCTCTGCAGTCTTAAGGAATGTTCATACTGAGAACACATGTATGAATGTTACAACATGGCCCATATCTTGTGATTTTCTTTTTGGTACCAAGTAAATTTGGAACAGCAGTGAATTTTGTAGATTATTTTGCAAAGACATTTATAATGTGGTTTGCTGTGGAAATGCAGAAGGAAAAATTCAGGCTGACTTTTATGCATTTAAGTTTGCTGCATATGCATAACCATTTCCTTAGATAAAAGAGAAGTGTTGTATTGGGAGCTAAATATAGGACATACTTGAAGTAAACGTAACCTTTTCAGACTTAAGTTTTAAAGAAACAACTTATCAAATACACGGTTACTTGGCTCTCAGTAAAAATATTTGCACTCTCGTTCTGGTTTGTGTATTCAGAGTTACACACAGAAAAGGGTGAAGTTGAAAATCTTTTATAAATTTGAATTTAAATAATTAAAACCCCCCAAATCTAAAAGCCATGCAGACTATCTTCTTCTGTGAACAAGGGAGATGGTGCTGATTGGTTTCCTGTAAGGCCAGTGATTGATGACCCATGAAAGAGCAGCTTTTCTGGCAGTAGGGATATTTAAGAAATTCCCTCCCTTATATGGTTTCATTTGTAAGTCTCTCCTCAGGAGAGTGCCTGTAGGATGCTTTTGTTCTATTTGGATGCCTATTTTTATATAGGAACTGAGACTGGTACTCATTATCTGCTTCTCTCCTGCCATGATTGGAAACTAGGCCTTAAAAGAGGGGTTGTACAGCAACTCCTGGGTTCCCATCAGGTTTTCAGTTTTAAAAATCATTTAGATGCTAAAAATGATCAGACTGGCATGAAATGAGCAGTCATTAAGGGAAACAGGCTGATGAAATGCAAAGATGCTTTAAAGTTTGTCTTGCAGCAGTCTGGGTGTAGTTTGATACTGGTGGTGGATGAGTGGGGAGAGGAGGCAGAAGTATGGTCAACCAGCAGCATTGTCAATTGCCAGCAAATCCTGGACAATCTTTTCAGTGCATGTGATGCAACAGGTGAGATGTAGTGAATCCTGCAGCTATTGTGTAAGGCATCACTGCCCCCAGTTTGTACTCTT